AACTCAGAGGATCATTTGCAACAAACGCAACGTAAGCGCTTGTCCTCAAATTTTGAGTTACTGTGATTGTAGATTCAGAAAGGCTCTTCCCTCAATGTGAACCCACAGGTGGTGCGCCAGATCTTCACGCTTGATCCTGTTCATGACATAAACTCAAAAGGACCATTTCCTGGCACTTAGTCGAGGAACGAAGTAAGTCCTTCCACTTACCATTATAGTGCCCGTATCAAGGTTCTCAGGTGAACTGGAGTTTCTGAATATAAAAGTGGCGTGCCACTAGTAGATACACTAGTCCTCATTCCAGCAATCGCCCTATGTAACTGCATTTTCGATCAGTATTGGAGATTGCAGACACGATTAAAAGGTAGAGATTTTTAATAGCGCAATCAAAGTGACACTTTCTCATAATTTCATATCTTCGTGATGACGGCTCTACCGTAGGCGTGCTATCCGGACTGCTCTACTACAAAGCAAGAGGTGAAACTGACTAAGCGACTAAAGCGAGGACTGCTATGCACATGTACGCGACTATATCCGATGGTGGGTTTCACTGAGAAAATTTTCTATCTCCTAGTTTTTTTTGAGTCAGAGTACGGTCAAACACCAAATTGTTTTCATGTGGACGTGCAAACATAATATTCGTAACACTCGCGATATTCAGATAGATGCATTAACAATTAAAAGCTAGAACAGATATGGAGCAACAAACCAAACAAACAAAATGGACATATGTATGATCGAAGAGTCAGTCAATGATGATTATGACAAAGTAAATTTAATACTTGTTCTATTCCTGAAAAGAATACAAAACAACAAGGGGCTTATAAAATGATTTTCTTCTGGATATTATTCTATTTGACTAAACATGTAGGATGCTAATGCTAAATCCTCTACAGTATGCTCAAGGAGACTAATAAAAATTATTTTATCCAACAATACCAGCATCTTCTGCCATCGAACGGAATAAGCCGTCCTGTTTCGCTAAAAGTGCGCTAGGTGAATCGAATTCGATTACTCGACCTGCATCCAGAACTAATAGTCGATCACAGTCCATCACCTGGAAGAACAATACAGCTTCATACTATACCTCAACAATCTAGAAGTACCGTATTCAGACGATGAGCAATAGTCAGTACTGTACAGTCGGCGAATTGTTCGCGAATGGTTCGTTGCAGCAAGGAGTCGGTTTCTGCATCAACAGCAGCTGCTGCTTCGTCCAAAACTAGAATTTTCGGACGGCGTAGAAGGGCTCGAGCAAGACACAACAACTGCCGCTGTCCAACACTGAAACATGAAGATATGTTTTTTTTTGTTCAAATTCCAATAAAAAAATATCATTCTCAAAGTAAACGGTACATTACATTATTTCTAGTAAAATTTCGTTATCCGGACCTACTCGTTGGGAAGAGTGAGTCTCCCTTTTCGCATGTCAATTAGGGTTCAAAATTCATCAAAAGAGTCAGCCCGATGCCACATGCAGAAAAATAACAACTCTATAATTGTTTGACATCTTTTAAGCTATCTATCTACCCAAGTGAACTCAATTTTCAATTTGATTTCATAGCAGAAACGTTTTAATTCATTCCAAGATCGAAAATCAACACTTGTTGGACAATTATGAGTTATAATATGTTTTTATGATACAAACACAGCAGTTCACTCTTAACTAGA